TCACGAGGGTGAGAGGGTGGAGGAGGGAGGACCAAGGGCTCCAGTAGACAGAAAATGTTTGGAAATGATGATGGCAACCTATTACAAATGTGCTTGATACAGTTGATGTATGCATTGTGCTAAGAGCTGTAAGAGCCCCCAATGAAATGATTTATTAACATTAAAAATAGAAATATTTTAAAACTCTTATAATACTATCTAGTTTGTGGACCTTTTGGTTATTCTTATTTAAGTATTAACTGTACGAAACAATAAACTCCCTTTCTGTATATCTTTTTTTATACTTAAAATGGTCATTAGGGCAGAGTATCAGTGGTAAAATTATTGGAATCCCCCCACTGTCCTGTGGGGGACATCGGCATCCCACCCACCTCGTCAGAGCTGAGGGATCAGTGGCTCCATATGAGTGTCTCGGGTGCCAGCACATGCCCGGAACATGGGATGTGCTCGGTACAAGCCAACTAACCAGGCTCTCAAATAACTGGAATTGCCGCTACTACTAAGGGGCTCCACACAGCTCTCAGAGAAATGCCATTACCTTTTCATTCCATTTCCCCCACAGCGTATGGAAGCCCCCTCATATCACTGTTATCAAGGGGTCTCGTGTACCCATGCTCTGCAGCCACTTCCGCACAAGACAGAGTAGAATCACAACCGTGGGCTCTGTGGGGAGGCGGTGGCCAGCTGAGTCCTGGGGGGTTGACTAGCGGGGAGGGGGCACAGTGTAATCTTACAGCAAGGCCAAAGCCGCCGGTCGTTTTCAACCCATAGAAGACATTGTCGAACTGCCACCCTGGCGTTTCCTCGGTGATAATCCGATGGGGGCAGATAGCCACAGCTTTGTTCAGCGGCCGAGCAGAGTTTGAACTGCTCACCATCCGTTAGTGGCTAAGCCCTTCAACCACTGCTCACCAGGGCTCCTTGCTGTGGGGCAAAAACCCAGAACGAAATTCACTGCCCTTGAGTCTGACGCACAGCATCCCTATGCGGGAGTAGAAAGCTTCGCCTCTCTCCTGCATTGCAGCTGGTGGTTTTGAACTGCTGGCCTGGGGTTAGCAGCCCAATGGGTAATCCACAACACCACCAAGGCTTCCTTTCTGGGGGGGACAGGGCCCCCTAACTTTTCCCTGGGCCACTATTCTTCCCCAGCCCTGCAGCTCTGCCCAGGGGCCCGCGTGAGGCTGGGAGAGAGGAGCCTTGACCTGCAGAGGCTGAGCCAGTGAGGAGAGAAGGCAGACATGGCCTTGGAGTCTGGAAGACTCTATTTGTGGGTCTGAGATGCTCGTTAACAGGCAGTGCCCCGAGGTGAAATGGCCAGTTTGTGATACAAGGAGCTCCTTATCACGGAAAGTAGTGTGGGCTGTGTGGGCTGCTTTGGGCTGCATCTAAATGCCAGGTTAGCAGTTCAAACCCACCAGTCACTCTGCAGGGAAGAGATGAGGCTGCCTGCTCCAGTAAAGATATACAGCCTCAGAAAACCCTAGCTGGGGTCACTTTGAGTCAGAATGGACTCCATGGTGAGGGGGAGGGGGCGACCTGAAGCAGATGTTGGGCAGCAGGGGCTTTGAGAACTCAAAGCAAGACCTTGATATTGTGACCAAAACCCACAGTGGGCATCTGCATGGTGCTATCCCAAGTTCAAGGGCTTTCATGCACTCTAGCCCATGTCTCCTTGCCCAGCCCACCTCCTGAGGCTGTTGCAAAATGGGCCCGGACACAGCCCTGCTTGGGTAAGCAAGGAAATGCCTGAGGGGACTCTGGGGAGGGCGTACAGGCAGAAGATACTGGTGGCGCAGTGGTTAAAGCACCCGGCGTTTAGTATAAAGAGTTTAAGTATAAAAAGGTATACCGAAAGGGAGTTTATTATTTCACACAGTTAATACGTAAATAAGAACTATACAAGAGGCACACAAAACTAGATTATAAGAAAGAGTTTCCATATTAATGGAGAAATATTAAATACCATCTGATAAAAAATACTGAAAGTGTTATTTAAGCTATTTCCATATTACTTCTTGATTGGCGTGCTCACTTGCAATACCCTTCGCTTTTATCTGAGCACCGTTGGCTCTGTGATTTGTCCTGAACCGTCTTTGTACTGTGAGAGTAGGATCCCATCCCGTTAGAGGGGGCCCATTCGATGATAGTCACTGTGCATTAGAAACAGGTGACTTCTCTGAAAATATTTATGTTCGTCTTTGAAAAACTCCTTTCCATTTCTGCTGACAAAATGTTTAGCACTTTGAAGACTTTCAAGGATTGCATAATTCACTCACTCTCTCGTGGGAATGGAGGCGGGGTAACACAAAGCTGAAACCAAAGACAGTGTGCGACCCTCTGGTGGCTTGGCATTTTTATATTACATGTTCGCTTACTGAAGCAACCCTGGCAAGAGGGCCCAAATGCAATGCTTCCTCAAAAGCATACTGAGTTTTAGGCATGGAACAGATAAATATTACAAGCATAGTTCCATCTGTCCCACGGATGGAATGAACATGACTACGGGCACTTAGAATACGCTGTTGCCCAGATGAACGTGAACAAAGAATAAGAAATGAAAAGTTGTGATTTCCACTTTAGTGAGAACCGTGATTACGAGCGCCATTTTAACAACCAGTTTGCTAAAGTCAACGGAAAATCAAGATATAGGCTCTACCCAACTGGTGTGAACTGGCTGAATCCCACCACTGTACTGGATCTCAGGCAACACAAAGGCCCTAAGGTGCTGGTGGATGGGGTTCAGCCGGAGGGGAGGCTACCTGGAGACCAGATGGAGTCAAAACAGAAGGCTGATTCACTTTCAACCGAAAGAAAGGACCATGCAGACGGTACTTAGCCGAGACCCAGACATGAAGAGATGCATGGGAATCACTCAGAAGACAGACCAGCCGACTAACGAAACCTCAAACTCGCGGTAGCAGATGCGGGTTTAGGGGCTGCCCTCCCTGGAGCTCCTAGAGATGCGTCTTGACCCAGAGAACGGATTTCCTTGGCAACGGAGCAGTCTTGAAGCTTCCGTGTGTTTGGAGGGAAGGTGGTGTTTCAACCATTTACTTCTTCCCCTCCTAGGGAGGAGGGTCCGCGTTTCTGGGCTCCGTCCAGCATGGTGACTCCACCCTCCTGGTCTCCTTCAGGAAGGCCTCCCAGCGCCAGGAGGCTGCTGCCCTTGAGGCTGGAGCTCGCAGTCCATAAGCTGCTTTGGCCCCTGTGTCCTCACTAGCCCTTAGTGCGTTCGTGAGTCTTAAACGGCCCTCGCACATACTGGACAGGCTGTAACTGGAGGATTCCTGAACCCATGTCCTGAGATACTCTCAATCCTGATCAGACAGTAGCTAGGTGAATGGTTCTTCAGGGTTCTGAGAGTGGTGGGTGGGGGATAGCAGAGAGTCAGTAGTCATGGGTACAAGAAGGAAGAGAATGTCCTACAATGGAGTCTGGCCATGCTTGCACAGCTCCTAAGTATCGTTCAAACACTGAACTAAATGTCAATAAAACTGTGAAAATAAACAATAAATCACTGCACAAACAAAACCCTCCTGACCTGGAACCAGCCCCGAGCTTACATAACAGACGGGCTCCCCAAAGAAAGGTTCTCCCCGGTGAGAGCCAGGCTCCTCTCAAAAAATCATCTATAGGCGACCCCAGGGTCAGCCGTGGCTTTAAAACAAAGACGAGCGTGTGAGGCAGGTGTGGCCGCGGCTGTGCAGTCGATTCTGACTCGCAGTGACCCTGGGTTTCCACGACGGTCGCTCTTTACAGGAGGAGAAAGCCTCGTCTTTCTCCCTTGGCACGGCTGGTCGTTTCAAACTGCTGACCTTGTGGTTAGCAGCCCAACTCGTGGCTAGTAACCCACCATGCCACCAGGGCCCTTGGGATCATCAAGACCAGCGAACCCCTCACCGAAGAGAAGCCGTTCCAGCCATCACGTTAGCGGCGAGTTAATGAAACGTCTGGGCAGGAGGGCCCGAGAATGATGTTATAAATACCCAGATGACCCCTGGCAGAAGAGGGGTCCTTGCTGCCCCTGCCGTAAGGGACACTAGATGGATGGAAACAACCAGAAGAAGAGCGCTCACACACTGTGAGGAACAGCGCCAGTGTCGCTGGAGAAACTGCAGAGGTTGTAGCACGGGAAACTCCACTGCTGCATAATCTTCCCGGAAAACACAGCAGCATCTCACCTGCACAGACACACTGCCATCCACTCATAGGCACCCTACAGGGCAGCCCCGTGGGTTTCTGAGACTATAACTCTTTATGGGAGTAGAAAGCCTCATCTTTCTCCCAAGAAGCGGCTGGTGGTTTCGAACTGCTGATCTTGCAATGAAAAGCCCCACGCGGAGCCATTATGCCAGCGGGACTCCGCTCATTTACTACCACTAATAAACAGGCCCAGAGCCCAGCTTTCCCTCACGGCCTGATGGTGTGTTGGGCCAATGCCTAGCCAGTGAGGGGGGCTGCCCAGCTGCGGTGGACACAGGTCAGTGCTTCGTCCTCCCTTTTCCACCACTACGCCCTCTCTGCTGGATTTCTCTGAACAGAGGGAGCGTTTGCTGTGGCCAATCAGCACTCCCTGAATGTGCATATGGACATCCCCGGGGTCTGTTTTGCTGTGTCTATTGATAATAAATTAAATCATCAATCAATCGACGGCCACCGCAGAAGAAAAAGAAAAGCCTGGGGGGCCCACGGAGCCCCAGGGGCCCAGCAGGATGGGCAGCTGACCGCAAGAGCGGAAGTTTGAACCCATCAGCAGCTTCCGGGGGAAAAAGCTGTGTCCGGCGGCTCCCGTGGAGTGGACAGCCTTGGGAGCACTGACGGGGCAGTTCCGCTGTCCCCTAGTGACTCTGAGTCGGAATCCACTCCGTGGCGGTGTGCTGGCTGCTTTGACGAGACACCGGGGTCTTCACTGACCCATGAAGCAAAGACAGAACCCAGACGTCTGACCGGATGCCTCCAGCATCCGATGTCGACGGAGCGAGTGAGCTGAGGCCGAGGGGGAGCAAAGTCACCGAGCTGATAAAAGCCAGGGGCCCGGGGCCCCAGTTCCTCATTGCCCAGGCAGCGTCACCTCCTGCTTATCCAAAGTCCTCGCCTACGGAGTGCAGCCGTCCCTGGGGGAGACACGCGGTTGGATCACCGTGCACACCTTTAGACCGAGTGGGGGAAAGACGAAGGTGAGTCACTGAGCATCCTGGAGCTGGAGTGGCCTCCCTGGGAGAAAGACAGGGGGTTTCTACTCCTGTGAAGAGTGGCCGTCTCTCGTTCTTCCTGCCCAGGGCGGTCACTGTGAGTCGGCGTCCACTCGACGGCAGTGTTTGGTTGGCTTTGTTTCTTCCTGCCTTCCCGGGGAATCCCTGGACAGTGTGAGCCATTAACTCGGTCACCTGCTCACTGAAAGGTCGGGCCTCCAAATCCATGCAAAGGTAACGCGACAGACAGACCTGCCGACTGAAACACCTGCCATTGAAAGCCTGATGGGGCACAGTTCTACTCTAACAAACCAGTCAGAGCCGAGGGAAAAGCAACGCTTTCCCCTGGAAAAGGAGCCGACGTGGGGCGGTGGGGTAGGCACCGGGGTGCTGCCCCCACTGTGGGCAGCCCAAACGGACGGACAGACAGGCTGCTCACAGGAGAACGACGTGGCCGCCCGCTCGGTGAAGATGAGCCATCTCAGAAGCCCTCTATCCGGGGACTCTGAGCTACTGGACGGCAGTGAGTTTGACTGGTTTCTGTTTTCTCCCTAGAAGGTGGGGGCAGGGGCGAGGTTGGGTTCATTTGTCTCCTCGGGGCCTGGTCCACAGTGGGTGCTCAGCCAACACCGGTGGTGGTGATGGGAGGTGCTGCTGAGCCCAAGTGAACACAGATCGACCTCGTGAGAGAGACGCTCACCAAGAGCCCGTAGGACAAGTCTGTGAGGAGTAGACTCTTGGTGGGAGTAGAAAGCCTCATCTTTCTCCCTCAGATCGGCTGCTGGTTTCAAACTGCTGCCCCTGTGGTTAGCAGTCCAACACGTAACCCACTGTGCCACCAGGGCTCCTCAGGGTTCCCTGGACTGTGATGCATTCATAAGAGCAGATCCCCAAGCCTTAACTCCTCCAACAAGCAGGTTAAAATTGAGTCCCTAGGGGTGAACGGTGACGCCCCAAATAAGCAAAGGCAGTCACGGAGGGCAGGAAGTCTTGCATCCAGGAGGTGCCTCCGTTCCCTACCTGTGCCCCCACCCCCACCCCCGGGCTTGACTCACCTTGTTAAAGTCAAAGGTCTCAAACATCTGCTCCACATACTGGCTGGACCACGGGCTCAGGTTCGTGAGGCCAAAGAGCTGGCGGAACTCATAGAGGGTGAGCTGGCCCGAGGGGCACTCGGTCATGAACTTCTTGTACCACTGGTGGCACTCGGTGCTGCTCAGCTCCTCCACCGTCTTCCCCTCCATCACGTTGCCCATCCTGAGAGGCCGGAGTCCAAGATGCTCAGGCCCAGTTCCCCGCTACTCCTCCTTCAAATGACGGGCTTT